CTTGATTTGGTTCAAAGGTCTGCAATGCCCCTTCCCTTTGAAGAGTTTCAAGGGAGGCCGGGGATTTCTTCTTTCTCTTCTTCCTTCTCCGCACCACCGTCTCCTCTTTTGGGCCGCCGCAAATCCAGAGAGGAAGTCCTCTCCTCGGAGCCCACCTCTGTTCTCGACGCTCTGAGCCCTCTCACGACCTCCTCTTCCACGGTGTCTTCCTCTCACGGCGGACACAGCGCCGTCGGAGGCGGCACCTCCACTGCCATCTCCGGCGACGAGCAATGCGGACAGATGGGCTTGGGCGATTGGGAGCCAGCGCCTTCCCACGACCAGGACCACGAACAGAGCATTCTCCGACTCATCATGGGAGATTCTCAAGACCCTTCTCTCGAACTCAACACCATTCTCCAGACCTCATCCTCCTCATCACCTGTCTTCCACGACCCCGATTACACCACCCTCGGCTTCGGTGTGGTCGACACCGGATTCGGGTCAGACCCGCCACTGTTCCAGTCAAAGCCGCCGTATCATCTTCCCCCTCTCCTAATCAACCAAAGCCAGACTCATTTCACACACAACCCGACCGTCTTCTACGGCCACAATATTCCGGCGACACCTCCACCGGCAAAGCGGCTCAACCAAGGCCCCTATCCGGATCCGAGCAAACAGGGGATAACGGAGCAGCTGCTAAAGGCCGCGGAGGTGATAGAGAGCGGCGGTGACACATGTGTAGCTCAGGGGATATTGGCGCGGCTCAATCAACAGCTCTCTTCCCCAATCGGAAAACCCTTCGAGAGGGCGGCTTTCTACTTCAAAGAGGCTCTCCATGGCCTCCTCCTCAACGCCTCCCAAACCCTAAACCCTTACTCCCTCATCTTCAAGATCGCCGCCTACAAATCCTTCTCCGAGATCTCTCCCGTTCTCCAGTTCGCCAACTTCACCTCAAACCAAGCACTCCTCGAGTCCTTCCATGGCTTCCATCGCCTCCACATCATCGATTTCGACATCGGCTACGGCGGCCAATGGGCTTCTCTCATGCAGGAGCTCGCCCTCCGCGACAATTCCGCTCCTCTTTCACTCAAAATCACCGTCTTCGCTTCTCCGGCCAACCACGACCAGCTCGAGCTCGGCTTCACTCGCGACAACCTCAACCACTTCGCCTCCGAGATCAACATCTCCCTCGATGTCCAAGTTCTGAGCTTGGACCTTCTCGGCTCTGTTTCCTGGCCTAACTCCTCGGAGGAGAAGGAAGCCGTCGCCGTTAACATCTCCGCCGCGTCCTTCTCGAACACCCCTTCGTACCTCCCTCTGGTCCTCCGCTTCGTGAAGCATCTCTCTCCGACAATCATCGTCTGTTCCGACAGAGGATGCGAGAGGACGGATCTGCCCTTCCCGCAACAGCTGGTCCACTCGCTGCAGTCGCACGCGGCACTCCTCGAGTCGCTCGACGCCGTCAACGCCAACCTCGACGCGATGCAGAAGATCGAGAGGTTCCTCATACAGCCGGAGATAGAGAAGCTCGTCGTGGATCGTAGCCGTACGACAGAGAGACCGATGATGACGTGGCAAGCGATGTTCTTGCAGATGGGGTTCTCGCCGGTGACGCACAGTAACTTCACAGAGTCTCAGGCGGAGTGTTTGGTGCAGAGGACGCCGGTGAGAGGATTCCACGTGGAGAAGAAACATAACTCTCTTCTTCTCTGTTGGCAACGGAGAGAACTCGTCGCCGTCTCCGCCTGGAGATGTCGCTCCTGATTCGCCGGAGATCCCACCTTG